CTCTACATGGTCAGGCTCTCAGCAGGGGCCACAGGCGGGGCAGGAGCCGCACTTCTGCTCGCGATGGTCAAGTTCACCGAATACTGGCCCCCCACGTCGCCGCGGCAAGGGCGGCACGCGCAATGTGGGGCTCGAGTTCATAGGCTTCAATTGTTCTTCTTGGGCGCAGGCCATCGATGTTTTGGACGGGGCCGCCACAAGGAAGATCGTTGGCCCCGTGCACACCACTTTCCTTCAAGAGCATAAGCTGAGCGCGCCCATTGCCAAGGACATCGAGGCGGTCAGCTTCAACAGGCATTACGCGGCAGCATTGGTCCCAGCCGTCAGCGGCCCAGGCGGACGCCCGTCTAGTGGAGTTGGCTTCCTCGTTCCAAGAAATGTTGGCCTCACGCATCTTGAAGGCATGGACGCGTTTGATATCTCACCGCCTGGGTCGTCTGGCCGCGCGGCTGTGGGCTGGTGCTCTGCAGGCCAGAAGGGTGGCCTCATGTTTATCACGGCATACTTTTGGACACGGGAAGGTTCGACGATTCGTAATTTGTCGATTTTGGAGGCCATTGCAACGGTCATCAAGCAGTATGACATACCTTGGGTATTCCAAGCAGACTTCAACGAGACGGGGGAGTCCTTGCTCAAGACGGGCTGGTGCCAAGATGTGGGTGGAGTTGTGCGTCTCCCTTCTACCACCACATGTTCAGGAGTCGGCGGTGGCAGTATCATCGATTTCTTTGTGCTCGACGCCCGCATCCAGCATGCCTTCGGAGACACTGTAGAAGTGCTAGACACCGCCGCCTCACCGCACTCGCCTGTTCGCTTAGTCATGCAGTCCAGGATGCGAGCAAAAGGCGGCTGGAGGTTTGCCAAGCCCAGACCTTTCCCAATGGAGAGGCCGTTCGGACCAGTTCCGCAACCTGCACAGTGGCCAGCTTTCGATCATCAGGACGATTGAAATTGCACCCAACTCGATCAGCTTTGGAAGCAGATTTCATACAGTGCTGAAGCAGAGCTGGTGAATCTCCTGGGCGTGGAAGAACCTCAATCCTACCTCGGTCGGGGCGATCCTCCTCGGTGGACCTGGCCCCCCTCGCTGGTCCTCAGTCGCACGCACGCCCCAGGGGAACACCTAGCTCCCGAGCTTGGCGGTGGGTCGCCGCTCGAGCCAGTGATTTTATTGTTCTTGCACAGGCTGCCCAGCAGGAGGGCGCCTGGCTGCGTGCGCGCGCGCGACGAGCGAAGCTCGAGCGTCGCATCGAAGGGGGAAGGGTTCGGCTGGTTCACGACTTGGGGGGGGAGGCTGAGCACGTAATCGCCCAGTTTGAACGATATCGCGCCTTTTGTCTCGAGGGCCCAGCGCTCATGGAGCAGGCCCCTGAGATCATGGGTCTCCAGCGTCGTGCAGTTGGCAACGCTCAGACCATCGAACGGCAGCAGGCAGCCGCACGATCGAAAGAATGGCGTGAACGTTTGAAGAAAGAGTCGGCAGCAGGCTCTTCTTTCATTCATAGGGTCAGCAAGTGGCGTACCCCTCCTCCTCCCGTCACGGGTTACTCCGTCTCCAACCTCGAGCTTGCTGATCCTCAGGGAGCGGCCGACAGGGCCGCGCAAGACTGGTTCGACGTTTGGGCCCCCCATGGACAGGAAAGCACGGGTCCCTCGGACCGACCCTGGGAGGCCGCCTTTTTCGCCCATCCGTTGGTTCACCTGGACCGCCAGCAGTTTACCAAACTATGTTTGAGTTTTCCTGCCAGGACGGAAACAGGCTCCGACCACTGGCACCCACGCTGGTGGGCCTGGCTTTCGGACGAAGGCAAAGACTGCCTCATTCAGCTGGTGATGTTTATCTCTCGCACGGCGCAGTTCCCTTCGCAGGTAAGGTACATTATATACTTCCTACTTTCCAAGGAGTCGGGAGGCACTCGGCCGATTGGGCTCCTCCCCTCTCTCATGCGTGTGGTAGAACGAGCTCACTCTGGCCTCTTTCACGACTGGGAGCGCTCTGCCAAGCGCAAATATGACTTCGGGGGCCCTGGATGGGGGCTCCGAAGAGGCCGCGCGGCACCAGATGGTGCACGATGAGGGGACGCGTGAGGGGGAGGTGTCGGTGACGGGAGTGCTGGATCTGTCGCGTGCGTTTGAACATGTTACCATGAATGCTCTGTGGGTGGTTGCCCCTCTTTGCGGTTTCCCTCAGCAGCTAGCCAAGCTTCTTATCAGTATCTACACGTCCACTAGGCTGGTTGCTTTTCGAGGGGTCCTAGCCAAGAAGTCGCTTCAAACTTTCTCGGCCGTCGTGGCTGGGTCGATCGGTGGCACCAGGGCGCTCAAGATGGTGGTGCTGCAGGTCACCGATGCTATGCATCAAGCCTGGGGGGCTCGCCTCCAGATGAAGCTGTTTGTCGATGATCTTAGTATCCAGGTCCGAGGAGCCTGGCAATGTCTCACTGTTCTGCAGGCTGCTGTCACCTTCTATATTCGTGAGATTGAAGGTACCTGGCGCATCCCTGTCTCCCGTGGTGCCCGCGGTAAAGGGTGCATCCTCGTCGCCGCGGCCTCGGCTCGGAATCGCTGCGCTGCCTGGGCCAAGGACTTGGGTCTTGCCATCACCAACACCAGTTCCCAGCTGGGAGTGGATAGCGCTGGAGGCGCCGTGGTTCGCAAAAGGAAGAAAATGCAGAAGCGATTTAAATATGCATGCCAGCGCAATTCTAAATTAAAAGCCCTCTCGAAGCAAGGGGCCCGCCTCGCCAGGGTTGTCCGCCAAGGTGTGATCCCGTCCGTGACCTACGGGTCTAGCTGTTTAGGAGTCTCGCCTGTTTCCCTGAACAGAATGCGGGTCATGGTCTCGGGCGGCCTTGGAGGTAGTGCGGTTGGTCGAGACAGAGTCCTCCGACTCTGGACGCATCAAGTTGATCCTGTGGTCGAGGGTTCGCAAAAGCCGATTTGCATGTGGGCCTCGCAGGCCTGGAATGGTGTGCATCAGGTAGATATGGCCAGGGCCTGGCGCAGGGAAATGTCTCGCGAAGCGACTAGACGGAGTCGACCGCTAGATCGCCCCTGGAGCCAAGTTCGAGGGCCTGCGTCTGCCTGTAATCTTACGCTGCAGCGGCTGGGCTGGTCCTGGCCTAGCTGGCATACCATTCGCATACACACTGGTGAACTGTTTGATATGCGCCGATCGGCGCCCAGCACGTTGCGCAAGTATATCTATCTTCGTTTGGAGGATCAAGAGCTCACCGACTGGGCCACGCAGCGTGGCATGCCGTTTCGGAAGCCCTTCCTTGAGCCTTGTCGTGCGGCAGTCAGGACAAAAAAGAAGAAGGGCCAGAAGCAGTCGGCAATGCTAGCTTTCCTGTGTGGCGATTTTTGGACGCAAGATGAGGTTTGGAGAGCCGGCCACTCGGAAGATCGAAGCTGCCAAAAATGCGGACACGCCATCGGTAACCAGCACCATAGATTCTGTAAGTGTCCAGCTTTTTCAGGAGCAGCGCCAGGCTGCAGGTGAATCCTATCCAGATATAACCCACCGTGCCTCCTCCTCGGGCTCCTCCTCCCACCTCTTCTCCAGGGCTCTCGCGCCTCACCCACTGGGGGACCCCTTCCAGGACGTCACGCCCAGCATTGAGACCCTGGACCCCGAGTGCGGGGACGATCCCCTTCTCTCGGGCCTGGCCTACTCGGATGGGTCGGGGGTCGGGGTCTCTGGGCTGAAAGCGTTCGGTTGGGGCTTTTGCTTTGTAGATCAGCAGGGTAACGTACGCAAAGCAATGCATGGCACGGTTCCAGGTGTTAGGCAGGCACAGAGTGCGCTTAGGGCAGAATTGTATGGCTTTCTGAGTGTTCTTCGGAACGGCACGGCCCCTCTTCAGGTAGGGATCGATAATTCCACAGTCGTTCGGGGCTTCAGGCGAGGCCCAGTCTGGTGCCGCCAAGCCAGGCGACCGCATGCCGATTTATGGCACATGATTTGGAATGCGATTGAAGACTCGTTCTCGGGGGAGGGGGACCTCGTCGTCGTCAAGGTCAAAGCGCATTCCAAAAAGGCTTATGCCCAGCAGCTCGAGGGACTCGAGCTTTGCAACTACCTCGGGAATCAATGCGCCGACCTTCAAGCGAAGGAGGGCGCCAAGCTTGACGCCGTCCCGCCGCATGTCCGTGACACGTGGGTGTCTAGGTCAAAAGAAGTAAGTGCTGTTCTTGGGCTTGTCGGTGACATGACTTGTAAGATAGGCACGTTTGATGACACTACTGGCGGCCTTCAGAATGCCTCCCAGCCCCCTGGCCCTCGGCCGCGCCGTGCGGTGCTGCCTCCTCCTGGGTCTCGTCACGTCCTGGAGTGGGATCGGGGGTCTTGGAGGTGTGTGAATTGCGCCAGACGGGCCCACAGCTATAAGGCCAAGCTGGTGTTGTCTCGTAGGTTTTGTAGGAAGGGTTTCTCCTCCCACGGTAAGTGGAAGGAAATAGCACGTGTCGACGGGGCTCCTTTGCAGGGGCCAAGGCGGCACAAGCTGTCTCGGATAGGCCACTATACTTTCTGTCGTAAGTGCGGCGCCTTTTTGAGCGCCAGGGCTTGTGGTCTACTTACAGGATGTCCTAAGGACCCGAGGGATCACAACGCCAAGACTCGGCGTAATCGATTGCTGGCAGGTAAGCATCCTTATAAGAAAGACTGCCTGGAGAGGTGGTCGCGCTGTCAAGGACCCAGGAATTGGAGTTTCTTGAGTCGATTGGGATTGCTGCCAGAGCTTCTTCCTCCGCCGCTGGAAGCGGCGTAGAGGCCCAGTCTTCCTCCGCCGCCTCAGGCGGCGCGGAGGTCTAACCAGGTCTGTCGCAGGTGGACGCGAGGTGCTCGCCCACGCTGTGCTCGCGGGAAAACCTCCTCCTCCTCCTCCTCCTCCTCGTCCTCCTCCTCCTCCTTCTCCTCCTCCTCCTCCTCCTCCTCCTCCTCCTCCTCCTCCTCCTCCTCCTCCTCCCCCTCCCCCTCCCTTCTCCATCTCCTCTCAAAGGTGGTGACCAAGAATCTGAACATGGTCATCGATCGGAAGCTGCGGGGCTCCGCCTCCTGCCGCCGGCCCCCCCGGCTCCCTGGCTGGCTGGCTGGTGCTGGTCCATTTGGACCGCTGGCTCGTTGATGGCATGGTCCTCGTCGTCGTTGTCGAGGGTCGAGGGTGGAGGGTGGAGGGTCGTCGTCGTCGTCGTCGTCGTCGTTTCCGGCGTCGTCGTCGGCGTCGTCGTCGTCGTCTTCGTCGTCGTCGCCGTCGCCGTCGTCTCGCTCCTGGCTCTGCGCTCTTCGCGCCTCGCTCCCCGCTTCTAGCCCCCGGGGCCCCGCGTTCCTCGATCCCGCTGCCCTCCTTGGCGTCGCTCGGACGTGTGTATTTTTCCTTCGGCGAGGACCCTCGAGGAGCATCCTTGATCATTTGGCGGAAAAAAAAACCACGCACGAAACCGAACAAAAACACAGGGAATGGACGTCCGAACGATGGCCAGATCCCGCTGCCCTCACTTCACCCTGTCCGCGGCCCCCCCCTGCAGCGTCCTGCCTGCTGGCTGGACGCTGGCTGGTCGGTCGGGCTGGTGTTCGGCGCTGTGCCAAGGGGGAGATCGTGGGAGGAGGGGGGCGGCATCCACACGAGGCGATGCTTAAGAAAGCTTAAGTTTTTTTTCGGCCAGAGTCTCGACTATTCTTAATGGTTCAATGTAAATCCCAAGATTTCAAAGTAAATTCTGGGTTCTCACTCAATTCTGAGACTTTGAAATTCTGAACCCATGGTTTCTTAAGCATTTCGCAGGGTGTAGAAAGGAAGGGGACCGGGCGAGAGGAGAGGGACGGCACTTCGGGAGCCTTGGAGACGGGGGCCGATGCAGATGGGGGTCAGCCAGGGCGCCGGAGCTTGCAGAATGCTGCACGGCCAGGGTTGTAGTAAGAGGACCCGCCCCAGCGCGCTGGAGTATATCGTATCGCATGTTTCCATGCATTCTGTCTTCGAAGAAATTCTCAATTGGAGTAGGTTGGTGGAGTCTGACTGGGCTGGGCCCTGCAAGGCCTGACCTGCAGAGCCTGGCTGGCCCGGGCCTGCATGCGGCCCGGGTCAGCAGAGGAGCCAGAGGCATTGGGGAAGGGGGGTCCGGGGATGGAGGTGGATGGGGGGAGAGTCGAGCCAATGATCTCGGTTCGCCTTAGAAGCGCCCTGGGTGTTTCTTTAGCGTTTCTTATTCTGGGCTCCTGACAGTCTGGAGTTCGCTAGAGCTTGTTTTTTTGTATCGTTTAAAGGGTTGCTATGTTTGAGTGTGTTTGTTATGTGTTTGCGCTTTCAGGCTGGAAACGCTAAAAACACCGGTCTGACAACGCTAAGAAAACGCGTCATTGTTGTTGGCATGTTCTGAGTTCTGTGGAGTCCTGGGAACGCAATAACATTATTTCCAAGACGCCGAGCTGAAAACGGTAAGAAAAGCGCCCTGGGCAGATTTAAAGCGAACCTGGTAAATAATGGGAGGGGGCCAGATTTAAGCCAGGCCTGCCCCACTACAGAAGGGAATCTTCAAAAAGAGTCAAACTAATCTGATGGGGACGATTTTGTTTGGTACTATTTTTGCAGATGTTTGGTGCATTTGGGGGATCTTCCTTCCGTCCAAAATCCGCCTGTAGGGGACACACGCCCGATCTGACACCAGATGAGCGGGGCCACGGGCGGGGGAGGGGGGGGGGGCAGAAAATGCCAGGGGAAGCGTGGCTGCCCGCGCACGTGCGTGCCAGCGCGTGCGCGCCACGAGGACGCACAGACCCAGACAGGATCGCGTCGTGCAGACATCGCGACGCCAGGTTTGGGCCATGCTCGGCCTCCGGGAGCCCTGGGGGATGGGGAGAACACCGGGGGAAGCGCGGCTGCCAGCGAATGTTGCATGCCAGCGCGTGCGTGTCATCGGGACGCACAAGCCCAGACAGGCAGGATCGCGCCGCGCAAGAATCGCGATGGGACGTTTTGGGCCACGTTCTTCCTGTGGGGGCCCTCGCCGGGGCCCTGCGACTGTCCAACAACTACACGCAGGATGACAAACCGGTCCTGGGGAGAGGGTCGGGCCTTCCGCGAACCGCGTGCTGAAAATTCAGGACGTGTTGTGTCGGGGAGCAGATACGCAGCTTGCACGTGCGAGTGGAGGCGCACCAGCGCATGCTCACCACACGAGCAACATACCTACACACTACCTGATAAAACCGCATTGCTTACATCGCATAGCCACACATGCACGCGCGAATGCCCATCACGCGCGCCTATCCACCATGAGCACTGCGGCGCCGCTGAAGGGCGTCGACGGAGGACAGGGATCAACGTGAGCAAAGGCGAATGAGGGTCCATGCTGTTTGCCTGGTGTGCGCGGGACGGTCTTCCGCTCGGGAATGAGTCTCTTGCGCCAAACCGAGGATCCCCTGATGTGAACATAATGAGGCGTTCGGATCGCTGAGCAGCTCTTCAAGAGAGACTTCGGCTGCGTCGCGGGCGCCCAGAGTGCGCCGAGGAGGTCCCATAGAGCAGTTTCCGAAGGGCCCCAAACACGGCCCAAGAGAGACTGCGATGCCCCCATAATGCTGCCGCGAGGCCCCCAAGAGCCGTCCCAGGCGGCCAAGAAGTGTCCCCGCCAGAGGCCTCAGCCAGCCTTGATCGGTGGCCCCAGAACGGTGCAGACGGGCCCAAGATGGTCCACCTTGCGCCAAGAGGTTGGAGCAGGCGCACCAGAGGCCCCGACAGATGCCCAACGGTGCGCGAAGATAGGCGCAAGCGGCCGCGGGCAGCAACACTCCGCAGCACCGGTTGCAGTGGCGATGCCCGCTGTGCACGAGTCGCGTCGCGGCTTTGGGGAGCACGAGTCCATCAACCGGCGGGGAAGAGGACAGGGTATGAGGACGGGAGAACAGGAGGGGAGGGCAGGAGAGCATGAGACGAGATGTGAAGAGGCGAGAGGAGGATAGGAGATGTGGCCGAGAAGGGGGGAGGAGAACAACGGAGAGGAGGTCAGAGAAAGGTGAGATGAGAGGAGGAAGGCGAACGGAGCGAGGGGAAGAGGGAGGACACGCAAGAGGAGAAGAAGGGGGTAGAAGACGAGAGAGTTTAGGAGTAGAAGGGAGGAGGGAGGAGAGGAGAGGAGAGGAGAGGATAGGAGAGGGACACAGAAGGTAGAGCAACAAGCAACTCGCAGAAACACCACGATGCCGCAAGCAACAGCAATCATCAGAAGCAAAGGCAAAAGGCCACAGCAGTCGTTTCATTGGACATGTGTGGCCTTGCGAGAGCGGACCGTTTGTGTTCCGCGAGGGGTCGTGGCCCGTGCGAGCGCGAACCCATTCCATTTCACGAGAGATGTTGGCCTTGGGAGCGCCGACCCATCGCAGTTTTAGATGTCCGTGGGCGCTCAGACGCTGAGGGCAAACAGCTCGAGCATGCTCAAAGTGATTTTGTTTTGTTTTGTGTGTGTGTGCGTCCGAGGGTGACGACTTGAAGCATGGCGCTCGACATTTGTTCGGGGGCGACCTGAGGGTACACTGTTTGGAGACGCTATATAACAGGCCTTGGGGGTGGCTGCCCGAGTTGGAAAAACATACGTCAGGCATTCAGAACAGGACCCCCGGGACCACCCGTGCAGCTCCCTGCTGCCCGAGCGCATCGCAGAACAGCATGCAGCTGAGAGGCCAAGCATGTCTGCTCTGTCCGACGCACACATTTCGTGATGCCAGCGTGACTGGCTGAGGTCACAATGGGCGATTTCACGATCGAGTTCCGAAGAAGAACAAATCACATACACATAAATTGTTGGCGCTCCGCGCGGATTTCTTGGATCTGCGCCTGGGCCCCCCGGCGGCGCCTCCGGCTTCGGGGCGCGCTCCGCGCGCCATGGAGGGGGGTCCAGCGCGAATACAAGAAATCCGCGCAGAGCGCCACAAGTTTATGCTTATATGTTGTTGTTCTTCTTCTAGAGTTGGGAAGAGTACATTGTTACGAGCGTTACAGTCTCGCTGATTGCCGTGGTGCATGGTCAGTCGCACATCTGCCAAGTTGTTGAAGCTTGTGTTTCGCAGCTCGGTGGCCCCGCATAGCTTACGATGCAACTTCGGGGGACCGCGTCCGTCCTGCAAATGGCGGCCCTTTCCCAGTGTCCGACGCACCTTCGACGCGTACACGACGAGGGTTCAGCGTGGATTCGACGCGGACTCGACGAGGATTCGCGGACTCGACGCGAATAACGGTATGATGGGACAGACATACGAGGTCCCCCGAAGATGCACCGTGCCCTGGCCGGGGGCTCGGCGGACTTCTACCCGGTCGAGGAGGCCAGGACGTCCAACATGAAGCACCGGCCTGTGGGCCTCGGGGTGCAGGGCCTGGCCGACGCCTTCATGATGATGCGGCTGCCGTTCGAGGGCGAGGCCGCGAGGAGGCTCAACGAGGACGTGTTCGAGACCATCTACTTTGCGGCCTGCGAGGCGTCCTGCGAGCTGGCTGAGAGGGACGGGCCGTACGAGACCTTCGAGGGCTCGCCCGCGAGCCGCGGCCTGCTGCAGTTCGACCTCTGGAAGCAGACGCCCAAGAGCGGGCGCTGGGACTGGGCCGGCCTGAAGGCGAAGATTGCCAAGCACGGTCTGAGGAGTTCGGAGAAGACTCCTTGCAGAAGCATACATGTTCGGGGCTCCGGGCGGATTCCTTGGCTCGGCGCTGGGCCGCCCCCGGCGGCGCCTCGGCGCCACCCCTGGCGCGCGCAGCGCGCCAGGGAGGGGGTCCATAGCTGAACCAGTAATTCCTCGGGGAGCTGAAAGTTCATTTCAATGCCAGTGCTTCTTCCTCCAGGAACTCTCTGCTGGTCGCTCCCATGCCGACCGCGAGCACGGCGCAGATCCTGGGGAACAACGAGTCGTTCGAGCCTTACACGCAGAACCTGTACGTACGCCGCGTGCTGTCTGGCGAGTTCGTGACCGTCAATAGGCACCTCCTCCGCGACTTGATCCGGCGTGACCTGTGGACGGAGGACATGCGCATGCAGCTGATCGCGCACAACGGCAGCGTGCAGGGTTTGGACTTGCCGTCTGATCTGAAGGAGCTCTACAAGACGGTCTCCGAAGGAGGAAAAACGGCATAATAAAGAGCACGAGCATCGCATGCGATTTCTCCCTCAATCCCTGAGTTCCGCCCGAAAAGTTTGGCCGCTCAGACAAAAAGTGGGGAATTTTGGGATACACCCCAAGGGGCCAATTCGGACGTACACCTATTCAAGATGGACGCGCCCCATCGTAGATCCTAGAGTTGGACCCAACATTGCTTGTCCATTCGAAAGCCCACAGAACCTGGGACAGGGGTAGACGTCTGCACCGAGAAAAAGGGCCAGCAACAAGTTGAACCAGGTGGAGCAAACAGAGAGACGCTCGGCGGTGCGCGCCGACGTCTCGGCTCGGCGCCGGGCCCCCCCCATGTGATCGCTCTTTTTTTCCGTGTTGTGCCGATCGGCGCGGGCCCTCGCACCCCCCCCCCTCCCCCCCGCTCCATGGATTAAATCGGGCGCGTCCCCCTACAGGGGGATTTTCGACTAAAAATGAAGCATACTCCAAAAAATGCCCCCAAATGATCAAACAAATATTACAAACATAGTTCCCAGACTATTTTTGGATAATTGTTTGTTTATTTTTGGGATATTCTTGATTTTTCGTCGAAGATCCCCCTGTAGGGGGACAGGCCCGACTTAACCCATGGAGTGGATCTTGGCTCTTTTGGGCACCTGCTCCGAGCAGGCGGAGCCTCCCCTCCTAGGACGCACTCCCGCACACAGTCGCACTACAAGCGAAGGTCCGGAGCGAGCGCCCCCCCCCCTCCCCCCCCCTTCCGCCCAACTGTCGAACCGCCGAACAAGAGCACGCGTACCATTTCCCGGCGCGCGGAGCGCGCCCGGGGCGCGGCGCCAGAGGCGCCGCCAGGGGGCTCCAGAGAGCCACTCCGAGGGAGAGATCCGTGCGGGGCTCCGAGAGAGGTCGGCAGCCCGCCCCAGGGGGGGGCAGTCAGAAGGCGCTGGCGTTCTCATCGGGCCGATCGCGAATGGGCACGGAACTACCCTCCACCTCCATTATCCATACCAGCCACGGCAGGCGCGGAGGGTGATGCATTGAAACTGTTGAGCGCCTCCGGAAACGCAAGAAGAACACTCGGCGTGTCACGGAGGCCTGGAAGGTCTGGAAGAAGGCCACGCGGGAAGGTCAGCACGGAAGGTCTGGAAGAATGAGGGCGAGGGCGGGGGAGGCAGTCAGAAGGGGCTGGCGTTCTCATCGGGGCGATCGAGAATGGGCGCGGAAGTACACCAGAGAGAACCCCAACCAGCGGATGGTTTGAGATCGAGGCGGGGAACGACCAGGACCCCGGCAACCTGGAACCGACCGAAATCGGCCCGGAGCCAATCACCAGAAATTGTGGAACCCAGCCGGCAACCAAAATCGGCGGGAAATGTTCGCCAAATTTTCCAATTTCCGCTAGGACCCCTTCAGTGCAGGCACTGATTGGGGGAAGAACAGGTACGATGCCCAACGTCAGTTCCTGTTCATTTTGAACAGGGCTCGCTGTCAGCACCGCCGCGGACGGTGCCCATTTTAGACAAGAGGCCGCCTACCCAACAGCGGCCGGTTTTGGACACAACATGTGTTGTTGGGCACTGTGCCAATTTCTTCCGTACCTACTTCGGGTGTCCAAATCTCAGAAGGCTCGGAACTTTCCAGCCTTCTGAGAAGTTGCATAAGTTTTCCCCGAAGGCACGGGCAACGTTTCAGAAGGCAGCGAGGGTTGCTGAGGAGTCCCACCGCCTTCTGAGAAGGCCTTCTCCTTCTCACTTCCCCCCCCTCGCTCGCCGCCGATTCGGTTCATGACCTGTTTCGTTTTGCTCCTCCAGGTCAGGTCTCATGTTGAAATCGTTGGGGGGTGCGTTTTAATGCCGTGCTCAAGATCAACGCTCATGCACGTTTTGGAGTCCGTGTTTGCTTCCCTCAGGGAGTCTTGTTCGCGCCGGGTTGGGTCTGGCCTTTTGTGCAGTTGTCGTGTCATGTGTTCCGTCCCTGTTGGCCCCCCAGCGCTTGCAACATCAACGAAGTAGTTAAGGTCTGGGAGATCAAGCAGAGGGTGGTGCTCGAAGAGGAGGAGGAGGAGGAGGAGGAGGAGGAGGAGGAGGAGGAGGGAGGAAGGAGGAAGGAGGAAGGAGGAAGGAGGAGGGAGGAGGAGGAGGAGGAGGAGGAGGAGGAGGAGGAGGAGGAGGAGGAGGAGGGAGGAGGGAGGAGGGAGGAGGGAGGAGGAGGAGGCGGAGGAGGAGGAGCCCCCGAGGTCTGGGAGATCAAGCAGAGGGTGGTGCTCGACATGGCTGCCGACCGCGGGAAGTACATCGACCAGTCGCAGTCCCTGAACATCCACATGGTCGACGCCTCGGCCTCCAAGCTGTCCTCCATGCACTTCCACGGCTGGCAGCTGGGGCTCCATGGGTAGCAAACCATGGAAGCTCCGTACGTCTTCGTGGTTCAGTCTTTCGAGTGCGCTGGCTTGCGCTGGCGTACTTATGTTGATCGATGCGAAGCACCGAGTCAGCGTAATTATGTTGATCGATTTGCGTAATTATGTTGATCGATTTGCGTCGCTAAGCGTCGACTAGCGGCGGGCAGCGTCGATTCACAAGGGCCAGCAGGGTGGCACGGGAGGCTCCCATGATTTGCCCCCGGAGGCTCAAGACCGGCATGTACTACCTTCGCACCAAGGCCGCCGCGGACGCGATCAAGTTCACCGTGGACGTGGAGAAGGTGAAGCGCGCGAGCACCAGGCCGGCGCTCACGGAGAGCGCGGGCGGCTATCCGGCAGGTGCTCTCGGACGGGTATAGTAAGGACCCCAGGCACGGGGAGGCGGATCAGTGATTGGGCCCCGAAGCCTCCCCAAATGGCAAGAAACACTAAAACCATGTCTGCCGTAGTTGATGTCTCTTGGGGTAGCGGCAGTTCTGGTTAGTGGAACGGGGAGAAGTGGAATCCTCCAGTACACGTCACGAAGCCAGGGCCTTTTGAACCCAGTCCCGCCAGCGCCCGATCTTGGGAGGTTAAATTCAGATTCGATGCTGGTGCATCCGTGGTGCAAAACTGGTACAATCCGACACAATCTCGTTGGATTCCGTTGGATCCGGCTTCAACTGGCTGGACGGTCCCTTGATCCGGCTTAGACTTGGCATCGCTCGGACGTGTGCATTTTTCTCTCGGCGAGGACCATCGAGGAGCATCTTTGAACATTTGGCGAAAAAACCACGCACGAAACCGAAAAAAAACAGGGAATGGACGTCCGAGCGATGGCCAGTAGATGGCCCTTTGATCCGGCTTGACGGCCCCTCAATTTCGCTTCACCTTGTTCGATCCAGCTCGATGGGCTTACAACCTGGCTTACTCTGGATGGATTGCCCCGTGCTCTGGCCGAGCAGCCGCTAGAGTCGTGCTTGCGAAAAGCTTCCCAGAGCTGGCCTCCCGAGGTGCCGTGGCCTCCGCGGCGGCCAGCACGGCACAGTCGGTGGAGAAGCAGGCCATCGACGCGCTGAAGGCGGGCGCGCCGAAGTACGACTGCGTCGGCTGCAGCGCCTGACGAGTGAGGGGGGACTCTGCGCTCGGAGGCCTGGAGGTGGGCGCTGGCTTGGATCAGGAGGGAACAAAAACACGCAGACACAAGTAATCGTCGACTCCCCAGAAGATATGGGGAAATATGGGAAGTGTGGGGGGGGGGAAGACGCAAACCCAGAAGATTTGGGAAACATATGGGGAATCTGTTTATCTGTGTGTATTTCTTTGTGTGTCCTGGGGCCCCTTCATTGGAGCCGCCTGGGGCCTGTGGTGTCCCAGCAAAGGGTGCCCGCCAGCAGGAAGAGTCCAGGGATGAGAAGCCACCCGGAGCCGACAATCGGCGGTTTTTTAATAGAGAACGGCCCTGGGCGTTTACTGCGCTGCCCTGCCCTGTTGGATGCCTTCTCTTGGGGGCGTTTGCGAAACGGCCGCGCGCGTCGGGGTGGTTTTTTCTCGGGGTGGATTTCCTTCCCTCTAAGGAGGGGCGGGCAGCTATTCTAAATACTCCCTGAATAGGAAGGGCGGGCAGCTATTCCCTCTAGGAACGGCCCTGGGCGTTTACTACGCTGCCCTGCCCCGTTTGATTCCTTCTCCTGGGAGCGTTTGCCAAACGGCCGCGCGTGTCGGGGTGGACTTCCTCGGGGTGGATTCCCTTCCATCTAAGGAAGGGCGGGCAGCTATTCCCTCTAGGAAGGGCGGGCAGCTATTCTAAATACTTGCAGGGCGGGCTTTTGGTGGATTTCCTTCCCAATAGGTTTGGGGCTCTGGGCTCGGGGAAATGTTTCACCTTTTTCGGCCCCTGGGGGCCGTGTGCGGGCCGGGGGGCTGGAAAACCGCCCTGGGCCGAAACACTGCCCCAGGTGGACCCCAAGCGCTTAGTGGACCCTGGAAAGGACAGGGCCGTTTTTTACCGGTTCCGTTTTGCCGTTTGTTTGCAGTTGGTTTGCCGTTTTTGCCAGGAAATATGGGAAACTATGGGAAGTGGGGGGGAAGACGAAAACCCATAAAACATGGGAACATATGGGGAATATTTTGATTTGTGTGTATTTATTTTGTGTGTCCTGGGGCCCCTTCATGGGAGCCGCCTGGGGGTCTCAGGTGGCCCTGCATCGGGTGCCCGCCAGCAGGAAAGAGTCCAGGGAGGAGAAGCCACCCGGAGCCGACAAGTGGCGTTTTTAGTGAATTCGGGGGTGGACAGAACCCCCAACAGTGACACGTCGATTAGTGAATTGTCCGTTTTCGGTTCTCGAGAGGGCGCCGTGGCCGTTATTTTCCAGGCCTGCGCCCGCCAGGTGGCCTCAGGTCGTTTTCACTAGACCACGTTTTACTAAAGGGAGGTCTGTCCATCCCCGAATAGAGAACGGCCCTGGGCGTTTACTACACTGCCCTGCCCTGCTTGATGCCTTCTCTTGGGGGCGTTGGCTGAACGGCCGCGCGTGGCGGGGTGGTCTTCCTCGGGGTGGATGTCCTTCCCTCTAGGACCTGGCATCGCTCGGACGTGTGCATGTTTCCTTCGGCGAGGGCCATCGAGGAGCGTCCTTGACCATGTGGCGAAAAAACCACGCACGAAACCGAAAAAAGCACACGGAGTGGACGTCCGAGCGATGGCGAGAGGAAGGGCGGGCAGGTTTGGGGTTCTGGGTTCGGGGAAAGGTTTCGCCTTGTTCGGCCTCTTGGGGGCCGTGTGCGGGCCGGGGGGCTGGAAAACAGCCCTGGGGCGAAAGATTGTCCCAGGTGGACCCCAGGAGGGGTCCAGGAGCTGAGTCTCCCCGGCCGCCTCGAAGCACCAGCAACAGGGTCGGCGGCGTGCCTCCCCCGAGGGAGCGTGATCCCGATCTCGGCGATGGTGGTACTAGGTTCAGGTCGGACGTGTCCCCCTACAGAGGGAGCTTGGACGAAGAATGAAAAAGTAGTGCAAACATATTTCAAACATTGATGAAACATGCTAGAACAAATACTTCCCCGACTATTTTGTCCTATGTTTTGGTGTTCCTCCTGTAGAGGGGCGTGCTCGACTTAATACTATGTTGGGTCACCCAGGTGGCCGAACGATTACCATCAGCACCGAAATCTAGGATCATCTTCTCCTGGTGGAGGCAGCGCCCCGTGTTGGTGCTCCGCGTCTGAGATCGACGACAGAATTCGTGCACCCTGAAAGTATGTCTTTCCTCGAGCCTACAACACACAATGCAGAGTGCTCGTAGATTCTCTCGTGGGGTCGACGACAGGTTGAATGTTGTTCTGAATCAAATCTGCGGTCGACCCCGTACCAGAGTCTTGGTCGGTGGCCAAATGTGGACCCTCCAGGCCGGCCCACGCGAATTCAAAGGGAGAGGGTGGGGATTCACGTCGTTCAGGAGCTCCCGAGCGGAGGGAACCCCCACCCTTACTTGGCCCCGGAAACGGCGGGGCCGTTTTTTCACCGTTTCAAAAAAAATGTCCCTTGAAAATGGAAACGTAAAAAAAAAACGGCGACCGGGAACGGCAAAAACGGCTCCAGGATGGGAATTGGAGCCGGAACCGGTCAAAAAACGGCGACGGAACCGGTAACACAACGGCGTCGGAACAGGCAGAAAAACGGCAAAACGGAACCGGAAAAAAAACGGCCCTGTCGTTTCTAGGGCCCACTAAGCCCCCACCCCCCCTCAGAAATTGTGAGAGGTGGGGGGCAGGGTTCACCTCGGGCCACCTAGTTGGTCCCCGCGTGCAGGAGATCGACTGCAAAATTAATGTGCCCTCAACTCATGTTCCCTCCGGGTCCACAATCCGTAGTCGTTTTTTTCTCAGATTCGACGACTATTGGAATTTTGGGGTAAATCACGACTGTAGTGATCTCATATCAGAGTCTTGGTCGGCGGCCACATGTGAACTCTCCCCCACATCCCACACGATTTCAAAAGGGAGGGGGGGGAGGGGTCACGTCGTTCGGGAGCTCCCGAGCGGAGTCACCCCCCACACCCCTCCTTAAGAAAACGTGGGAGGTGAGGGCAGAGTTCACATGGCCAGCTAGTTGGTCCCCACATACAGGAGATCGGCTGTATAATAGGTTTACCCTAACATCATTCGTTCTTCGAGTCTAAAACACAGATGTGTAATGTTGATCGATGGTTCAAAGATTGAGCGACAATTTGAATGTGGGGGGGATCAAGTCTGTAGTCGGTCTCAGACTGGCGTCTTGCTCGGTGGCCACGTGTGATCCTCCCCCCCGCCCCCCACGAGTTCAACAAGGGGTGTGGGGTTTCACTTCGTCCGGGAGCTCCCGAGCGCAAGGACCCCCCACCTCTTAGACACGTGGGGGGAGGGGAGGAGGAGGATGATGATGAGGAGGAGGAGGAGGAGGAGGAGGAGGAGGCAGGAGGAGGGGAGGAGGAGAAAATGAGGAAGAGGAGGACGAGGAGTAGGAGGATGAGGAGGATGAGGGAAAAGGAGGGAGGAGGAGGAGGAGGTGAGGGGATGAGGAGGAGGAGGAGGAGGAGGAGGAGACGAGGGGGGCAAGGTTCACATGTGGCCACCCAGTGGGTCCCCACACTCCAGGCCTCCCCGCCTGCGTGGGCTCCCCACGCGAGCAGGCCAGGAGCGGGGGGGAGGGGGGCAGCGCGGGGGCCGCGACCTCTCCCCCCCGCCGCGCTTGTACAAAGGCCGACGGCCTGCCGCCCTCGCGTGCACGGCGGCGGGGGGCGGTTCGGTAGCAAACCTGGCTGCCTCGATACCCGCGCAAAGCAAAAGCCAGGACGGAAAGTGTTTGGTCGTTTTCAGAACGACTCGGGTTGAAACATCGGTCCCAGGGAAGGGGTCGGGATTTCCGGGGACCGCGCGTGGGTAAGTTCATCAGGACGTCGCGTGTCTGAGCTGAGATCCAGGCGCATCCATTTTTCGAGCCCAACGTTTGTTCGCCCGGCTTTGGGCCCCGGGACCCTCACAGATCGATTTGGCTCCAGAAATGACGCAGGAAGATTGGGTCTAGGGCTCTGGTCGTGATTTCTCACGACGTTTCAATTTTTTGAGACGTCGGATCTCAGGGTTAGTTGTCTCCATGCGCCCGCTTTGGAACGCAGCACGTGCCGTGCTCAAAACGTCCCTGCTGACACGCTGCGTGTTGGCTCACCGTGTTGGCCCCAGTTTTGGCGAGCGTACCGCGCCAGACCTGAGTTTTCAGTTTACGTGTCGGGCAACTGGATGGGCGGCGGCGGATCAAGCGATCGCCGATCGCGTGACTGGGTCAGCTTCATCACGCGATCCTCCGAGCCGGAAAGCGTGGTCGATCCGTGATCGGCGAGGCGGCCATCGTGATCGGGGCTGCGACCTGACCGCGTGATCGGGTGGGGCGACCAGCCGAGTGACCAACCAGTCACGAGGGGGGTTGGGCCTTAGTGGGCCCTGGAAACGACAAGGCCGTTTCTTTACCGGTTCCGTTTTGCCGTTTTTTTGCCGGTTCCAACGCCGTTTTTGTTACCAGTTCCGTCGCCGTTTTTTGACCGGTTCTGGCTCCGGTTCCATTCCTGGAGCCGTTTTGTTGCCGTTTCCGGTCGCCGTTTTTTTTGCCGTTTCCATTTTCAAGGGGCATTTTGGGGGAAACAGTGAAAAAACGGCCCTGCCGTCTCCGGGGCCCACAAAGGGTTGGGCTCAGACACGAAGGGAGGGGGCTGCCCCTCGCTGCGCCGCCGTGATCGGGGCAGCAGGCCGGAGCTGCGGGCCGCGCACCCGCTGGAAAAGGCCCGGGCGGCCCCGGCCCCGCCGGGGCCGCGCGGTCCGAGAGGGCCGCGGCGCCTTGCCGGGGCGGCAAGCTTTCGCGCGGCCCTGCTCTTGGCCAGGGTTCCCAGATGGGGTCCGAGGAGACGGGTTCATCGGAGGAGGAGGAGGCATCCATACCGCTGCCCTTGCCTCGTTTTCCCCTTTTTGGGGCTCCTGGGAGGCCCTCGTTGCCACAGCTGGATTCGCCTCGAAATTCTGGTCAGAACGCACCCCGAGAGAGGTCTGGGGAATAGCGGTATCGGTAGCTTTTGGTTACCCCAGATGGGTTGAGTCGGGCCGAGAGTCAGAGAGCGCCTTCTGTTGCAGGGCCACCACGAAAAGTGGCGTCAAGTTTGTCAAACGCCTCGCCAGTGAAACCGACGAAAAGGTGCAACATCCAACCGTCTGCTTTTATGTCCAAGGTTTCGGCCTGACGCCGGGTGTGGTGCCTCAACGTCAGCTTGACCGAACGGGTGGGTTGCGCCCTTTGACGTCCGTTTGGAGCGTTCTGCAGACCTGCCCCCCAGCCCTCCTCAATAGATGGGGTCGGAGAATCGCGCCGCATCGTCGATGTATCGCAGAGAGTATCGGCGTTGTGGCTCAAGGTGGAGCCGCGTTTTCTCCAGGCCGACGTCGCCGATGCATTGCCGATGTTGCCGATGTGTCGCCGAGGCTCCGCCGAGGCATCGCCGATACATCATGGATGCTGTGCAATCTTCCGACCCCATGCGCTCGGACCCCATCTAGCCGCCTCTAATTTTTCTGCCGGGGCAGAGCCTTGGGTCTTCTTCTGTGGCGCCGGCACTTCTAGCTTCGCCGTTAGCAACGTCGTCCTCCTTGTCCACTTCCTCCGATCCCTCCTCGTCATCATCCTCGTCCTCCTCCTTCTCCTCCTCCTCCTCCTCCTAGAACAACCCAAAGGAAATCTGTCCATACCGTCAGCTCCCCCCTGAAACCTCCCAGCACGTTTCTCATCCTCGCTACGTGCTCCCTTCCAATCTCCTTGTCGTCGTCGCCGTCCTCCTCTTCCTCCTCCTCTGTTCGCATCAGATGGGTAATCCAGTTGCCTGGCCTCAGCATGATAGGGTTTGTCAGTGCCGCCTACGTTTCGTTTGCGTCGGCAACTGTCTTTTCGTGGTGCAGGCATCTTCGCAGGCTGCCCTGAAGACTCGTTGCAGCAAGACGGAGTTCGGCAGCGCGCAGAGCAGCGGCTGGTCAGAGTTGCGTTCTTGGGGTTGGAAAATATGGTCATTCTTTTCGTTCAGGAGGTCTGTTTTCTCCACCTCCTCCTCCTCATCCTCATCCTCCTCCTCCTCCTCCTCCTCCTCCTCCTCCTCCTCCTCCTCCTCCTCCTCCTCCTCCTCTCTCACGACATCATCATCCAACTGTTTGTTCACCCATCTGTTCTGCCGAAGGTGTCATAGGGCTTCCGAAGGATCCAGGTGGGGGGGGGAGGTGGCGCCCATAGAGAGAAGAATGGGGTAGGAGGAAGTGCGAGTGAGAACGCAGTACTCACAGACGTGCGAGTGGGAGGAGCGAAGGAGAAAGCGAAGTCAGGACGCATGACGCAAGCGTCTCGACACACCACTCACACGTTTGGTGGCCCATTGGGGGGCTCCACCGAAGACGGTGCTGAGAGCCGAGGTACCCACATTTGCATATGATTGGGTCCTTCGCCGTGATCATTCGTTGACGGGTAGATTGCGTCAGCCTAGATCATGGTTTCTCAGAGCCACCAAGATTGAGGTGCTACCAGCCTGTTCTGCAGCAGGGACGATGAGGTCGCAGAGAAGTTTGGGGAGGAGCTCCTACACTGACCAGGGAGGACGCACGAGTGAGAACACAACACTTCACAGACGTGCGAGTGGGAGGGGCGAAGAGCATCGAGGAGGCAGGAGGCAGGACGTCCGAGGAGGAAACGGTACCCATCTACCGCTACCTTTCCCACGTCTTCCCTTGCTTGGTTCTCGCGGGATGCCCTCGTCGCCACCGCTGGAATCTGCCTCGAAATCCTGGTCGGAGCGCACCCCCGGAGAGGTCGGGGGGTAGCGGTATCGGTAATTACCTCTTTGTCTCCCCAGGACGAGGAGGATGCAGTGAAGCTGAGGGAGGAGTTTCCAAATTGACCGGGGTGCCGCCGCCACCACAGCAGCCCCGACCCCGACGGAGCACGCGACGACTCGGATTGAGGGAGTAGGCGCAGGAGTCAAGAGTTGGCGAGGGCGAGCGAGTCGGAGGGCCCCTCCCGCCCACAACCAGAAGCAAGTGTGGCACAGCTCGACACAGTCAGCCCACACAGCGAGGAGGAGCGACGCTCCAAGGCTACCCTGGCCTCCTGCTCCCTCGCCCCGCCCTTGGCCGCTCTCGCTGGCCGCGCCCCGCTCGGAGAGCGTCGCCGTGGTCTCCGAGGCCCTTTTGCGTCCTTCTCGCGCGTCCTTGGGGGGGGAGGCTGCCGAGGGCCGGAGACCCTCGAAGGGGGAGGGAAGAGGAGGAGGAGGAGATGAGGAGGAGGAGGAGGAGGAGGAGGAAAAGGAGGAGGAGGAAAAGGAGGAGGAGGAGGAGGAGGAAAGGAGGAGGAGGAGGGAGAGGAGGAGAGAGGAGGGAGGAGGGAGGAGGTGCAGGAGGAGGAGGAGGAGGAGGAGGAGGAGGAGGAGGAGAGGGTCCCCGCCTCGCAGACGGAGGGCACGCCGGAGAAGGGCGGGCCCCGCGGGGCTCCGCGGGGGGCGGGGCGGGGGAGGGGGCAGCCACGCCCCGCGTGGGCGCGGCGTCGACGGAGCCTGCGCGGCGCTGGCACAGCACTGCCACGTGCCCTCGAGAGCACCGCGGGGGCTTGGGCCAAGATGCCTCCAAGAGGGCACAGAAGGGCCACACTACACCATCGAAAAACCCCACTCAGTGCATGATGGGAGATCGAGAAAGAGATCGACCGGGAACCCGGAACCCGGAACCCACCGAAATCGGCCCGGAACCAATAACCAGGAACCCGGGAGCCTTAGAACCCAGCCGGCTACCAAAATCGGTGGGAAATTTCCGCCAAATTTTTCAATTTCGGCTAGGACCCCTTCAGTGCAAGCAACGATTGGGGAAAGATGACCTTCAACAGGGTCCAAAGAAGCCAACATCATAGATCCCCCTTGGGTTATTAAGTGATTTTCGCATCATCGCCTTCTCGGGCCGCCGTCGGCTCAAGACGGCCCTGAAGGACCCCGCGATGGCCCAGGAGGCATCCAAGACGGCCCCTGGACGGCCCAGGAGGGCCTGCCCTGGGACCCACGGCGGCCTTTGGAGGCCCTTCGCCGGGGGGGCCGCGGGCGACGGATTGCCCACCTCGCGCCTGCTTCCCAAAACTGGGCCCTTGCGACGGATTGCCCATCTCGCGCCTGCTTCCCCAAGACTGGCGTTTGGAAGATATGCGCCCCCCGCCGAGGCGGGAACGCCATGCTCACACGAACTCTGCGCGGCGCCCGGGCGAGAGCAACCTTTTCGCCCGCTCGCGCGTCGAAAAGAGGGCGACCCAAAACTGCCCGGGATCTCGAGTGATTCGGACGCCACCAAGTCGTAGCATACCCGCAGGCCCTTCTGTTCGAGCTGCGTTGGAGGAGAAAAGAGCCCCAAGATACGCGTTCCCCACGCATCCGCGTAACTTCCGCCAAAAACGTGGGAAACACGAGCCCCGCGCCGACAATGTGAGCGTGGCGCCGCGGCGAGAGAGCGGCAGCTCGGCCTTGTCGCGCGGGATGCGCGCCCCGTCCCAATCCCGCCACGCAGTTTACAGCGGGGACGTTTGGAACGAAAAGCAAAGACATTGAGTTTGTATGGCTTCCAACCGTAATTGGGTGTTGAGTCTTCGATTGGAATAGGCCGCGCCCCGCCGCGTCCTGCTCATCCCCCTCCTCCCCCCAAGAGAAAAAAACATATACGCTGGACTCCTCCCTCGCGTCCTCCCAGGCGGGGCCCCCGAACTGTTCCTGTCGAGGACCCCGCTTCCACGCGGCGCCCAGAAATCCCACGGAGCGAGCCGCTGACGACTGGCACTCCCGCCCGCCCCTGCACGTCCCCGCCTCCTTAGGCGAGCGACGCAGATGAATGGAGTCGTCTGCGCGGACGTTCGCGCGCAAGCTGCCCGCGTAAGGTCGGGCGTAAGCGCCCTCGTTTCGAATGTAGCATGGCCGCGTTGGCGGCCCGCGCAACCAGCGCGCAAGGTCGCCATGCCGTCTCGCGTAAGGCACCTTTCTTTTCTCCGCTCAGGTGGAGGTCAAGCTTTTCGAGGACTACCTGGACGAGCTTGGGCTAGCCCTGTACACCGCGCGGCTCACCCTCCGGCAGCGGGGATGGGAGCTGAGGCTCCGCTGGTGGGCGGTGGTCAACCCCCAGGACGGGGCAGAGGACGAGGAGGTGGAGGTGGACGGGAGATGACAGCGGGTTGGTCTCTCGTAGTGCCGTTGACTTTGCCTGCGTGCGAGAGTCTTCCCGCCCCTGCCCCACCGGCGAGACCTAGCTGGAGTCGCTTCTCGATTCCTACGGTGATCCCCATTGACCCTTTTCTTCCCTGCGACACCGAAGTTGTCGACGGCGTCTTGGGTTTAAAGAGGCAGCCCTTACCGTTCAGTGTCCCCCCTTCCACGGTTCCTTGTGTTGCCTGCGGTGTAGTCGACGCTGAGTTGTAGCCGACACTGATCGACCGAGCTAGACTCGAAGAGTGATAACATAACAACGCAGTTTTAAAGTTCTGGAGCTTCTCGCGGATTTCTTGGATCGGCGTTTGGTCCCCCTCTGGCGCGCTCCGCGTGCAAGGGAGGGGCTTCTAACGCAGATCCAAGGCCGATCCAAGAGATCTGCGCGGCGTTCCGAAAGTTTATGATTATTCCGTGTCCTGCTCCCTGTCTAAGAAAAGTGGGGTAATCGATGCCTTCATTGCTCTTTAGTTCCCGGAGGTTCCTTGACCTCAGGGTGTCTTCCTTCAGCTGCGGTCGCTTGGATCCTTGCGGGGAACCCAGGACCGTTTCAGAGGGCCGAGTCACGACCCGGAAGCTAAAGGAGGAGGAGCAGGAGGAGGAGGAGGTGGAAGAGAATGAGGATAGCCATTTTCGTCATGGAAGCCTCCCTCCAGAGACCCCCTCTCTGCCCTCTCCCCTCACTCCTCGATCTCCCCATAAAAGTACGACTCCCATTATCCTGTTTTTTTTACGTTTCGTGCCGGCGCCGTCCGGGAAAGTCTAGGAATGACCGAGGACGGGTAGCAGCAGCATGTAGGTGGCGATCTGCACTGCACTGCGCCTGTGTGAACCAAAGTGCCTGCGTGCACCACATCGCCTGTGTACACCACGGCGCCTATGTACACCAGAGCAGCCGCGTGCAACACAGCGCCAGCGTGCACCACAGTGCCTGCGTTCCCCACAGCGCTTGTGTACACCACAGCGCCTGCGTACACCACAGCAGCCGTGCGCAGAACAGCACCAGTGTACACCACAGTGCCTGCGTGCACCACAACGCCTGTGTACACCTCGGAGCCTGTGTGCACCACAGTAACCGTTTGCAGCAGAACCCCACTGTTGCATACAGGCTTTTCACAGAAGAATCCGTACGACAGAATGGAGCGCCTGCGGATTCCACAGTAGACGAATCTGTTACACGGGATTTGGAAAGGAGTCCTGATGGGAATGGGAGCGCCTCTGGAATCTACGAGTCCTCGCGACGAGGAGGAGGAGAAGGAGGAAGAGGAGGAGGAGGAGGAGGAGGAGGAGGAGGTTCCGTGCCCAGGGGACCGGGACGCGCACTGAGACCTGGGCGGCGCCCTCGTGGAAGGGCCTGGCTGGAGGCGCGGGGCGGGCCCAGGCGCTTGGGCCACGTCGGGCATGCCCCTCCACGGGTGGCGCATCCGAGACGAGGATAACTTAGTTGTGAGACGAGTTCTCGTGCCCTCTGCCTATCTGCAGCCATTTGTTGATGTGTTGTGGGCCCTGCTTCCAAAGTCCGGCTGCGTCAGACGATCGCGAGAATGGACTACGGGGGCGTGGATTGGCGACGGGGGTCCCGCTTCCATGGGCAAACGTGGACTTCCGCCGCCGAGCGAGGCGGCACTGGCCGCATTTTGGGGAGGGCACCTCCCCCGATCCATGGATTTGGCGACCGCGCGCCACATCCATGGATCGCTAATCCATGCTTGCGCGCCCCCGATTGTAGGAGTAAGTCGGGCCTGTACCTCTACAGGAACAATATTCCAAAATAATCAAAAAATGGTC